GAACTATTTAGAAAGATCATTATAAAAAATTAAGGGAGTGCATGTTTCGTGGGTTTCAATTCTACTCATTCCAATAACTAGTGCTTGGTTCAATTTTATGGGCCCACGAATTTCACTTTTTGGCCCAACTTTCATTCCATACCAAATTGGTGGGTTTGGCCGAAAGAATGAACAAAACTATCCTTTTTCCTTCTTTTGCCCTCTCCTGTCTCTTACCGAATTCATCGTTCATCATCTTCTCTTCACACACCTGCCGGCAGCCGCCGCTTCTCCTCTTCTTCTCAACACATCAGCTGCCGCTTTCCATCTCCTTCTTCTCCTTAAGGAAAACACAAAGCAATTGAAGATCCAAGCACAATCTTCTATTTCGGCTTAAATTTTTTTCACAAGGTTTGGTTATAATTGTCATCAAAACGGCTAACTCTGTTGTATTGATGGAGACATCAACAAAATTTATGGACAAAAACAAAGAAAGGAGAGCAAGAAGTTCAATATATTGCCCTCAAACTGATTGCAGTTAAATCTTGGTTTTCTTCAATCCTTTGTTTAAAGCACTTCATACGTATTTGAAGATTCGTTTCTAATAGGAATGTTGAAAATCATAGTGATTGAGTGTTTTAATTAGTTTGGAGTTGTTGGAATTGTCATTTTTTTTCATAGATTGGTTGATTTCTTTTGAACGTTGGGTGAAAATTTCAGGAGTATCATCATCATTTCAATTTAGGAGCATATAAGAGTGGGATAGGAAGGGATGATTCAATTGTAAATTAGTGTGTTTCGCTTGCTTCAAAATGTTTTGTACAAACAACGAGAAACACTTCTACATCAGTGAATTGAACGGCACACTGCATGTCGTTGCTGAGGAGGAGGTTCTTCTTTTGGTTGCTTTGGCTACTGATTGAGGTTCTTCTTTTAGTTGCGTTGGCTATTGATTCTTTGATGTCATTTTTGGGGCAAATGTGGAATTTTAGTTGAATTCCATTCCAGGATAATGAATAACCAAGCAAGTGATTGAATCCTCTTTTAATATAGAATCACACCTTCTACTTTCATTACATTCCATTCCGTTCCAATCCATTCCACTCCTGAACCAGACACCCCCTGAGAGAATAATTTGAAAGATATAAAGCCATAAATCAACAATACGAAAAAGATGGACTACAAATTACATTGAATGATTTCAAATATTGAAAATTATTCCAAATGTACTTAAATAATAAAATACATTGACATCAATTTATATAATTAATATTAATTTCGAACAACCCACACAACGTGTGGGAATAAACACTAGTACTACATAATAGTAGAAATTTATAACAATCCCTAATCTGACGTGTCGTATTCTTATAAAATATTTTCTCTCCTAAAGACCTATTATGTCTAAACGATTCATGTGGCTCCGTGCTACATATACACATTTAAATTCCCATTTAACTAAATTTTTTATTTTCGTTATAAAATTTTCATTTAATTCATTTACCATTACCTTATTATCTATTTGTATTATTAATTTTTTTAATAACTTAGATCTCTCTATGTGTGTGTGTCTATATATATATATATTCCATTATAGCATAAAGAATCAACAAATCCTAATCTAACGTGTCACATTCTTATAAAATGTTTTTCCCTTGTAAAATCTATTACTCCCTCTGATCCATATTAGAAGGGATTTTAATTTCTTTTAAATTTCATTTATCGTGTTTTTTTTAGATGGAAACGAAACCTTAAAAATATTTTATAATTATTGGAAGAATACAAGTGATGTAAAAATAGATTTTAAGGATTTAATTTTCACTTCAAACGATATTCTAAATGAATTCTAAGAAAAATGAAAAGGACCTATAATAAGGGCCGGATGGAGTATGCCTAGATGATCCACGTGTCGTTCATCCCTCATATACACATTTAAATTCCTATTTATTTGAATCCTTAATATTGACTATAAAATTTGCATTTAATTCATTTACCACCCCATTATTGTTACCCTACCTTTAACTAATTGCCTTATTAGTTTATTAATAATCTATATCTATATATACTCCATTACAACAGAAAGAAACCATCAATAATCCTCAATCTGATGTGTCATACTCTTATAAAAATGTTTTCCCTCCTAGAATCTATTATGTCTAAATGATTCTTAATTATGTCCATCCCACATATACACATTTAAATTCTCATGTCGTCCATCCCACGTATACAAATATAAATTCCCATTTAACTGAATCCTTAATTTTGGATATGAAATTTCCATTTAATTCATTTACCACACTAATTAACTATCTACCTTATTAACAAATTGGCTTACTAATTTATTAATCATCTATATATACTAGCTCCATAGATAGCAGAGCCATTAACACTCCCCAATCTGACGCGTTGCATCCTCATAAAATAATTTTCCTCCTAAAATCTATTATGTCTAAATGATCCAGGTGTCGTCCATCCTACATATATACATTTAAATTTTCATTTAACTGATCCTTGATTTGGCAATGAAATGTTCACGTTCCACTGCCATTAACTACCTACCTTATTAACTAAATATCTTATCCATTTATTACTAATTTTTATATGTAAACTCCATTATAGCATAAACCATCTACAATCCCCAATCTGACTTATCGCATTCTTATAAAATGTTTTTCCTCCAAAAATCTGTTATGTCTAAACAATCTACATGTAGTCCATCCCACATATACACATTTAAATTTCCCTTTAACTGAGTCCTTAATTTTGGATTTTAAATTTCTATTTATATAACTAACAAATAAAATTTTATTTAAAAATGAATTTTTGTATAATTTGTTTTATCAATTTTGTAATTATTATATATAATAGACAATCATGATTTTTTAAAATTATGTAAGGATTATTAATACGATAACTGAAATTTTCACTCAATACACAAACAAGTAACAACTAAAACGTCCTTGTTTTTCTCCCTTTCATTAGTTTTTAACATTTTTTGATTTCTGATTTTGGACTTCCTCCGTATCTTTTGATGAAAAATGTAATCTTTAATATAAAATGCATGAGGATTCAATAGCACATTGTTTTCTGTCTTGTTTAGAAGTGAAGAAAATTTGGAAGCATTTTTCAAATTTATTTTCCATAAAATGGAGTGATGCCGCAAACTTGTTAACTGTATTGCAAGAGTGGTGGAATAGAGGCAGTTTTGGCACGGCCCTTAACTCTTTGATCAAAGTTATTCCGTCTTTCATTCTTCGGGAGCTTCGGAAAGTTAGGAACAAGGTGATTTTTTATGGAGAATTTTTCAATCTGGAAAAGGTGGTTAGGTCTATCATGGATGAACTCTGGAATATTTTGGCAATACATGAACTAAAGGTGCGGAATGAGGAAGAACGAGATCTACTTGACAAGTTGCTTGGAATCCGTTTGAAAAGGGTCAAAAGAAGAAGTTGCATTGCGGTCCATTAGGAAGCACCGGAACAATGTCAATATGTTTTGAACACAGATGGTTCAATGGTTAACTCTGATTCAGGATATGGATTCTCCATAAGGACGTGAGATGGTAGTTTCCTATATGGTGAAAGTGGATATTTAGGTGGAGGAGACAGCTTTGGAGCTGAGGTACACGAAATACTTTTTGGCATAAGGAAATGTGATCAACTTGGTTTGATGAATGTGGTCGCTTAAACTGATAATAAAACATTGGCAGATATGTTGCCAACTATGAAGATAAGTCCTTGGAAGTATCATTGGCAGCTAATGGAAATTTATCATATAATTGCAAGGAACTCTTACACTATAAATCATATCTTCCGAGAGGCAAATGCTGTGGCTGATGGCTTAGCAGGAGAAGCATTACTTGGTAATTCAATTAGATATAGTAATATGGGAAGTTTACCTAGACATATTAGGGGACTTGTTCTCTTAGATCAGGTTTCTTTTCCATAAGTATGAAGTCGCTATAAATAATTTTATTGTATACTGGTAAGTTTAAAGTACTGCAAAAAAAAAAAAAAAATAGTCTAAAGTACTGCCAAGTTTTCAGATTCGTATATAATAAAACATGGAAGGGAAGGCTCTAGGGAACTAGATGGTGCTAATGTTCATCCCTTGGGTATACCCCTTGGGTGCATTTGTATCATTTAACACTGACTGGCTTAATAAATATCTCCTGGACATACCCCTTGAGTATTTTTTAAGTCCGTTGGAAACTGAAATCCTTACCATCATTTTTCTTGTTAATATATATATATATATATAATCCATTTTACACATATTATAATTCATATATATATATATATGCATTAATTTTCATATGCTAATAATTATATGTTTTTTAAGTAGATACTTTACTAACTAAAAATATATGCTATCACAATTTATTCTGCACACATATAAAATTCTTTACTACATAAAAACTATTAATGTAACAATTATAAAATTGCCACACAATAATCAAATAAGTCCATGATAGGTAACTCTCTCTCTAGATATTTTGCTCCTCCATCTCACTAGTCGCAGGTTTCTTTCTCCGGCCTTTTGGCCGGTGCTCAACCAAGGGAAGCCCCCACTGGGCCTCCTTGTTCTTTTGCTAGCTTTTTCCAAAAGCCACCGATGATAACCCTAACTACAAAACACTCATTAAGCCGGTTGCATTCATCAATGGAACGGCGGTAATTGAATATGAGGATGATGAGTACGAGCGCTTGATTGCTCCTCATCAACAAAGTTTAGTGGGGAAATTTGCATAGAAATACATAAGGAGTTCAAAAAGATTGGATTTCAAGGAGGTTACACTTTAGGGTTAATGAACCCTAGACATGTACTTATTCGCTTTGAACGTGAGGAAGATTACCAACATTGTTGGATGCGAACGTTTTGGAATATCGCGGGATTCTCGATGCGTATTCTCAAATGGAAGCCCGGTTTCAAATTTGAGGAAGATCCCCCCAATTGTCCCTGTTTGGGTCTCGCTTTTGGATCTTCCCATAGAATTCTTGAATCTCGAAGTAATTTTCTCAATGGCATCGGATATTGGGAAGCCTCTCAAAGTCGACACCCCAACCTTGAATATGACTCGGCCGTCGGTGGCTAGGTTCTGTGATGAAATTGATTTGACAAAGGAGTTGCCAAAATCAGTGAAGGTTGGCAAAAGAGGCCGAAAGCATGAGCAAAAGTTTACCTATGAGCATATACCAGCCTACTGCTCAAAATGCTTGAAGATCGGACACAAAATTGATGATTGCAATAAGGGAGTAATGAAGAAGAAGGTGGAGGTTTCAAAACCCTCACAATCAAAAGTTGTAAAGCCATCGCGTGCACCCCCCAGCAGGATCTCAGTGTCACAAGTGGAGAAGCCCTCGCAATCTAGGGTTTTGTCCCATCTAAGTACCAGCCCTGTTGCGCAGGTTGCGTCGCGCGCTCCAGCCGATGAAGACTTGCCTACTTCCTCTGGTTTGAGTCTGAAGGAGAAGAAAGCTATTGTTGTTGATGTGCAGGACAATTCTTCGGTAGAAACCCCTGATGAAGCATTGCAGCAGCTGCAGCAAATATTGTCATAGCAGCCTCAAGCATTGTCGTGACTGCAACATTCCTTCCCAGCGTCTACTATTAATAGGTTCGTGCTGCTTGAAACCATTCCCGAAGAAGAAAATGAAGCCCCAGCCGCTGAGGAGGATAATGTTATTGAGGAAATCATGGCTGATCAGCCCCCGCAATCTCAAGTAAATGTGCTAGAAGAGGAACGCCAAGCTTTTTCACGTCTTGGTAGCGATGATCGGCTAGCGCTTGGTAACTTTCCAGATGATGTGAAGATAGGAGTGAAGTCAGATATGTTGGATGATATAGATGGTGGTCACGGCTGCTGGTCGGAAAGCAATGTCGGTTGTGTTTGGGAAGATGAAACGTTGCATGGGGAAGTTTCTCAATCCCGGAAGCAACATCGGCATACAAAAGCAGAGATGGCGGAGTTGCAAAAAGGGATGGCCCTCTGGCGATCTCCCAGGCTTCTGTAATGTTTCCTTTTCCACTTATATTTATCCATGATAAGTCATCTAATCTGGAATGTTTGTGGAATTAAAGGTCAAGCGTCTCAACATCGTTTGAAGGTGTTAATAAATATGTATAAAATTGATCTTCTCTTCATTCTAGAACCTATGGTTGCTGAGGCCCAGATTGAAGTTGTTAAGAGAGAGTTGGGGTTTGATTTAGCTTTCTTCTCCATTACTAATAAAATTTGGGTTTTTTCAAAGGTTGGTTTTACTTTGCGCTTGCTTGAAGATACTCAGCAGGTTATTCATTTTGAAGCTTCCCATATTTCAGTTCCAAGAAAATTTTTGTTATCCGCGGTATATGCTAAGTCGACACGCGCCAGTAGAACTTCTTTGTGGCAGAATATGGCAACTTTCAGGCCTCTTAATCTCGGGGAACCTTGGATGATTGGTGGAGATTTCAATGTCATTCGATCTCTTGATGAATATTCAGGGCATTTGGTTCAAGATCCTCAGGCGATGACTGATTTCAATGAATGTATTCAAGAATGTGCATTATTGGAGATCCCTGCGATAGTGGAGGAATTTACCTGGGGAGGCACAAGACATACTGGTTGGGTTAGCAAGCGTTTGGATAGAGTTCTAATTTCGCAAGAGTGGCATGATCTATTTCCAAGATCCTCTTTGGAAAAATTGAGTAGAACTACATCCGATCATTGTCCGATGTTGCACTTGTTTAACTTCCCGATTGTTACAAAGCTGAGAGTTTTCCGTTTTCAGAAAATGTGGCTTCGAAGGAATGATCTCTTGGCTTTGGTACAAGAGGATTGGAATTTGCCAATGGAGCTTTCAGGTATGATAGGCTTTTCACTAAAATTGAAACGCTTGAAAGCTAAACTAAAGGTTTGGAATAAGGAAGTCTTTGGTGATGCTTTTGCCAATATTCGGGAGGCTGAAGCTAAAGTTCAAGAAAAGGAAGGCATTTATGATGCTTTGGGTAATCCTCATGATAGAGAGCTTCTACAAGTAGCTAAGGCTAATCTCTTGCTAAAATTGAGAGAACACGATGATTTTTGGTCTCAGAAAATGCGAATGAAATGGATGAAGGAAGGTGACTCAAGCACGGCCTTTTTTCATGCTTCTTTGAAAGAGGGAAGGCTGAGACAAGGTCTTTTCAAAATTCAAGCTACGGATGGTAGAGTGCTGACTAATCCGGCTGAAATAGAGCAAAAAGCAAGTAATTTCTTCCATAGCCTACTAAATGAAGGAGAGGCTGATCCGAGATGCAATGACATTCAATCAACTTTTTTCGATTGCATTCCTCATATTCTTGGCGAAGAAGAACATAATGTGTTGTTGCGTCCGATACTTCTCAAGGTAAAGGAAGCGTGTTTAGTTTGAGCGAAGATAGTGCCCCGGGTGTGGATGGTTTTGGTGGTTATTTCTACAAGAATTGTTGGGATATCATAGCGCAAGATCAATGGAATGCATAACGAAGAGTTTATGGTTGGGGTTCCGATGCCAAGATCCATTACGAGTACTTTGATAACTCTTATTCCAAAGAAGGTGGCTGCAACAAGCTTCGCGGATTTTAGGCATATAAGCTTATGTACTTTTTTAAATAAAGTCTTCACCAAGATTCTTACGGAAAGATTGAAGGGGGTTTTGCCAAGAATTATTTCGGAAGAACAGTCGGTTTTTTTGGAGGGGCACGACATTATGGATAATGTGCTATTGGCAGTGTCAATTTCTTGGCCATAAAGTTGAGGGAAGCAATCTTGTTCTTCTTAAGCTTGATATGATGAAAGCTTTTGATAGGGTTAAATGGAGTTTTTGGAGAAGGTATTGCTAAAATTTGGCTTTCCTATGCACTTTGTTCAGCTTTTGATGAATAATTTGCGAAACGGGTGGTTCTCTATTTTGATTAATGGCTCGCCAGTTGGCTTTTTTAAGTCGTCCCGGGGTATAAAGCAAGGAGATCCTCTATCTCCTTACTTGTTTATCATAGTCTCGGAGGCCATAACAAGAAAGTTAAAGTCTTTGGTTGAGGAAGAGAGCGTTGCGCATTATGGAACTCCAGCCGGTTCTTTGGGTGTATCGCACTTGGCATTCACAGATGATGTAATAATTTTCTCTACAGGATTGAAGCGATCCTTACAGAATTTAAATGCATTCTTATTAGATTATGAAAAGGCCTTAGGTCAAAAGATCAACTGCCAAAAAAGTAATTTTATGGTCTCGGATAATTGTGGTGTGCGGAGGGTTTCTATAATTCAGAGAGTCCTTGGTATTTAAAAAGAGTCTTTCCCCTTTACACATCTTGGATGTAAGGTCTTTCCCGAGAGGCGTAAGTCATCTACCTTTCAATTTCTTTTGGATAATATTGATAGAAAATTATTGAGTTGGAAGAATAAATTACAATCTCAGGGAGGGCGACTTGTTCTTATAAAGCATGTTCTGTCCTCTATTCCGACTCATGTTTTTTCTGCAATACCACCTCCTAAAGCTATAATCCGAGACATAGAACAAAGGTGTCAAAAATTTTATTGGAGTGGAAGGAGTGAGGAAAAAAGGAGGCATTGGCGGTCTTGGGAGAGGATTGCTTTTCCTTATTCAGAAAATGGTCTAGGGGTTCGAAGCTTTCAAGGGATTATTGATGCACTTACAGTTAAACTCTGGTGGAAATTGAAGCATCAAAGGGGCATATGGAGTCGGTTTATTCACTCATTATCAATGTCATCAAAGAGGAAAACCTCCTGGCTTCGTGTCTCTAAAATAGAGGCACGGGCAGTGGTTCATACTAAAGTCATAATCCGACGAGGTAATCGCTCTTTTTGGAGTGATAATTGGTCTCCTTTTGGAATCCTTTGGGATGTAGAAGGGTTCCAGCCACCTATGCCTAAACTAAGTATTTTGGAGTTTTTTCAGTGCAAGCAAGAGATTCTTCCTATGTTGGGAAATGTTCTCTCAAATGATATTCTGAATTTTCTTGAAGACTATGATCAAGATTTCAGTGATGGTGATGATTTTTTGGTTTGGAAACATACTACACAAGGGAATTTGACGGTGAAGTCCGCTTACGAATCTCTCCGTCAAAGACATGAAGAGGAGGGCTGCTCGCGCAATGTATGGAACAAGGTAACTCCTTTGAAAATCTCTATTTTCTTATGGAAGTTGAGAAATAACATTCTACCTTTTCCTGAAGTCATAAGTAGAATGGGTATACAAGTGCTTCCAACAATTTGTTTTTTGTGTAAAAATGGAGATGATAGCATTAGACATACCTTCCATGGATGCGACTTTGCTAAGAGGGTTTGGGCTTATTTTTCGGCTATCATGAGCATCAATATTAGTGGTGTTCATTCAATAGCATCCATGGTCGGTTTATGGTAGGAGAGAAGTGATCTTAAATCGGCCTTTGGGATGCTAAGGAAATTGTTACTTTCTTTGATCATTTGGGAGATTTGGAAATGTCAGAATAAGGTCATCTTTGAAGGGATTCAACCCAACGTCGCTAGGGTCCTTAATGCGGTTAAAGACCAAGTTCGTTGCTTGATGACTATCCATAACTTGAAGCTTAGGCATGAGAGGGAAAAGATATTTTTTGTAAATGAATTTCAAGTGGATCTTTGAAATTATTTGCGAGCTAAAGTATTTCGGGTTGTTTGGAATCCTCTGCCTCCAAATTCTTTTGTTCTTAACTCGGATGGCTCCTCATGTTTGGGAGATGCGGGATATGGTTTTGCTATTAGAGGTTCAGAGGGATCTTTCTTATATGGAGAATGTGGCTACTTGGGTGGCGGGGATAGTTTTCTTGCTGAAACGCTTGGGGTACTATTTGGATTGAGGAAATGTGTGCAGCTGAATCTTTATAGTGTGGAGGTGCAAACGGACAACAAAGTTTTGTCTGAGGCTTTCATTGGGGGAATGGGCTTTCCTTGGAAATATCTCTTGTATATGCAAGAGATTCAAGCATTGCTACAAGGGAATGGGTTTACAATAACTCATATCTTTAGAGAAAAGCAAATTCAGTTGCTGATGGACTTGCAAAAATGGCTGCTCTGGGAGATTCGCAAGTTTTTCTTTCTATGAATTCATTGCCAAGAGATGTTAAAGGATTGTTGATTTTAAATCAACTTTCCTTTCCTTATTTTAGGTGCAGGGTGGCTTGATGTAATAGTGGTTAGATCATACTCTTCCACTTTTCTTTTTGGAATTTAATAAAAATTATCGGGTGGGATGGAACTACGGAACTATATAATATATATGTCCATCCCTTGGGTAGACCTCTTGGATGCATTATATTATACAGCACTGCCTTGCTCAAAAACTTACCTCCTAGGTATATCCCTTGAGTTTTTTTTGAGTAAGAAGGGACCTGAAAGCCAGCCTAGCCTTAATGTTTATAAAAAAAAAAAAAAAGTCCCCAGTCAAACCCCCTTGTTTTTTCTCATTTTCATTTTTTAAATTTTTTAAACTTTCGAAAAACCATATTTCCATAGTCCTAAAATAACTGGTCAATATGAATTTTTATTTATAGTACATCAACAAATCATTTTAGGACTGAGGAAGTATAATTTTTAGTTCACAAAATGCGTATAGTAAATATGAAACAAAATTGTTTGAAAAGAAATCTAAAAAAAAATTTTACTATTTTATAATAAGAAAAAATTTGAACGAAGAAAATGAATTACTTATGAATATTTTTTTCAAATACATTTTGTGTATGAAAATATTTTGATAAACTTTTTGCAAAAATAATCAGATTGAGTTAAAGAGCTGCTTCTATAACTATCAAAAATACCATATTTTATAATTCATTATAAATTTAAAAAACGATAATTAATTTGACAAAAAATACGAAAAAAAGAAAAAGAAAAAATGAAAAAATGCTAATGTAAATCATGTTTTAGAAAGAGGCAACAATCAGCATTTACTGACACGCGCTTTGACACGCGCTGCTGTGGGCGAGAACACTGATACTGTGTGCGAAGTTCGTCGTCTTCTCTCTGTGAATCTTGATCTTAGCAAGCTGGTACCTCTGCGTATCAACCATGGGCAGGCCTGCTAAGGGAAAGAAGGTTGCAAAAAAATCTCCTCAGAAGGCGACTAGGGTTGAGAAAAGCGGTTCAGAGAAAGAAGCGGGTACTACCATACTAGTTCGAGGTTCAACAACCAGTTGAGCAAAAGTTGGGGGATCCCACTCTGGTAAGAAACTCTTCCCCTCCTATGGTCTCGTTTGATAGCTGAACTAATTCTGTACTAGATAAATTATGCAATGAACGAATAGTGGGGTCTGAGAAAGTAATTGATGAGAAGAAGCAAGAATTAGGCAGAACAAATTGGACCAGAATTGGGGGAACTTCAATATGGATAAAATTAGGTATGCACCTGTTAATTCAGAATTTGTTGATCCTAAAATTGTAGCGGATAAGTAAATAGGCAAGATCTTTAAAGAAGATGTTGATGCTGAAACTGCATATTGGAGCTCTTCGTGTATCTTTTATGTTTTGGGTAGCCATGCACAAATTCATGTGATGAGTGGTTACATAAGGAGGAATTGGAGTAGATATGGGGTGGATAAGGTGCTGGTTTTGGCTAATGGCATGTTTGTGGTTAGCTTCCATGGTGCAGAAGGGAAGAATGCAGTGCTGAGCCAACAGTATCATCACTTCGATAATAAACCTCTGATTGTAAAGAATTGGAATGTGGAGGATGGACTCAAGATGCAGGAAATCTTGAAGGTGCCTATCTGGATTAAGCAGCCTGATCTCAAGCTCAAGTACTGGAATCCGAGATCCCTCAGTAGTATTACAAGTGCAGTGGGTCGTCCAATCAAAATGGAAATCTCTGGGAACCTTCCGGGCCAATAAATTGAGGATTGGATTTGCTGGGTTGTTAATGGAAATGGAAATCTCTGGCAACTTTCCGGGCCAGCTGTGGTTTGAAGATGAGCATGGGATGATCATTTAGCAGAAGATCGAATATGAGCGGAAACCAGTTAGGTGCAAGGAATGTCAGTGTTACGGCATGAAACGCAGTATTGCAGGAAGAAACTTCAACAAGATAGCAAGCTCAAAGGCGCTAAGAAAGTTGAGGTTAATCCTGCAACACAGAAGAAAACTAATATTCCTGTATCAGAAAGGCAAAACAATATGAAAACAGGTGACAAGCATAATAAAGGTAGCAAAGTAAGATACAGTGAAACCCGGTGAATGATTATAGAATACGAATAATTTAGGAGGCAGAAGGAAGTGGAAAACAGGGGTTTAGCCCCCATGAGTAACACACTTATATGGAATACAAGGGGACTCAGTCCCCTTAAGCACAGAGAGCTCCGAAATTTACTCTGTGCAGCATATAAGTATAGTTGGTTTAGTAGAAGTCAAACTAAAAGAGGAAAAGTTACTAGATATTATGAAGCAATGGGGGACGGAATATGAGTATAAGGGTAATAGTAGCAGTGAAGAAAGACACAGGATATTACTAATATGGAAAAAGGATGAAATCCAAATGTCTATTATCGCTAAGAAGGAACAGTTTATGCATTGTATGGTGGAGGACAAGGCAAATAAGAGGCAATTTACATTGACAGAAGTGTATGGGGACAATTCAAGAAATGAGAGATTATTCTTATGGGATGATCTAAGGTATCTTCGCCAGTTTGTTACTATTGCCTAGGTCATTGCAGGGGACTTCAACAGTATCCTTAGCCAAGAGGAAAAAGTTGGAGGTTGCCAGTTATGACAAGTGAAATTGGGGCTTTTAAGATGTGTATAGAAGACTGCCAAATAATTCATTTACAAGCTCAGGGTGGTCCGTTTACATGGAATAACAAGCAAATTGGAGGTAGCAGGATTTGTGCAAGACTCGATTGGGTACGTACTTGTTAATGAGGATTGGTTGGAGAAATATGAAGACAGTGCATCAGTGGTCATCACTGAGGGTTTATCTGACCATTGCCCTCTAGTAATAAGATGGACTAAGAAGGAATGTCAATTAAGAAAATGCTTCAGATTTTTCAACATGTGGACTAGTTCTGAGGAATATCAGAACATAGTACAACAAGTTTGGCAAATTGATATTGAAGGGAGCAGTCAATTTCAACTAGTACAGAAACAAAAGAGATTGAAGCTGATGGAAACCACCGAGCTAACACTAATGGAGAGAAACATGTTGCTGCCAATAATGGAGAGGACGAGCAAGTTGAGGTCGTGAATGCTAATGAAGGATCTAAAGATACTGCTTTAAAGAATAATCCTTACATCCGTGATCCACTCTCAAACATTGTTGGAACAATGACTCGAGCTAGACGTAAGAGGATGGATGAATCACTTAATAGTCTAATTATTACTACATGGGCTAAGGAGGAAATTAAGTTTGAAGATTACAAGCCCAAGACTATTAATTTGTTGCAAGTGACACCAAATGAACTTGGCCCATTTGGAGAGAAGGAATTTTGGCCCTCAATCCAAGGAGAGACCACTGGCCACACTCCCTATGGAGGTCGAATGGATCCCTAAAGTTTAGGGGTGAGATCATTCAAATTTTATCTCTTTGAAAGATAAGACTTTATCTCTTTAAAGGATAATATTTGGGATGATTCCTTTTATCTTATTGCTTTTCAAGTTTTCCTACAATAAGGAGTCAACTTTTAATGTCTACTTAACCGTTGGATGAAGACTACATCAAGATGGATGGCTAAGATCACTCTACAAAGAAGGTGATGATAGAGTTTTAACTCAAGGGAGATTCTATCCATAGGAATCTTTCTAAGAGATTATCTCTTTGTATTTTGAGTTTTAATTAATTCCTACATAGTCTTAAATGTCTTAAGACTACTAAAAGTGTCTAGGTTCGTTATCTTATCACTTAAGATAACTAGAAGTCTTTAGAGTTTGATTTGATTTCAAATTCTTAGAGATACGAATAGAGGTGAAGAGTTGTGTTCTTCCTCTACTTCTTGGGAAGAAAATTCGGCCACCCCATCTATAAATAGGGACCAAATTTCTCTTGTCCAACACACCTTGTGTCATTGATATTTTCTTGAGTGAAATCAAATTGGTTGGGATTTTATTCCTTTCGTGGAATTCTTGTGAGGACTTCTTTATTTAGTTGTTGCATATGTGTTGTGACAATTATTAGACTTATCTATCTTGTTTAGTTCACTTGATAGTAGCGTCTTTAGCATTGGATCTTTCGAATTTTGGTTCTTAAGCTCATAGATCTCATATCTATTGGGTTTTCCTACACAATTTTCCAAGCGGTCTCTGCTTGGTTAGAAATAGCTCTCTTCATTCTTGATTCGGGTTGTTCTACCATTGAACTTGTGAATTGATCCACGTGAGATCAAATATCTTTTCTTTTGTTTTTTTTTCGTGTGTTTTAGTGTCATTACATCCGAATTCTCCAAATTCCGCTGCCTACAAATCTCTGTCTTTTCGATTTAGCAAAGTTGATCTTTCCTTAAGATTGGTTTTGTCACGGATTGCTATCAGAAGCCTTTATTAAAGGAGTTAAATAGGAGAAGATATGCCAATGTTGATGTGCAAGTCCAACAAAGGAAACATGAGATGGAACAGACTCAAAATGCTTTGTAGTTGCAGCCCCTGAATTTAGAGCTGTAGGTTAAGGAAAGAGAGTGTGTTCATCAATTTGTGCAGGCCTGTTCAAATGCTTAAAGCTATTGGCAGCAGAATACCAAAGAGACCTAGGTACAACAAGGTGATTTCAATACATCGTATTTCCATGCAGTGTTGAGACAGAAAAGTAGGAGAAGTCGTATCCTGGCATTTGTAGAGAATGATGGAAGAATTATAGATGACTGGCCCCAAGTTCAGTATCACTGTTTAGCCTATTTCCAAAATTTTCTTGGGAAGGAAGTAGTAAGGAAAACAGTTAGAAGGGAAGTCTGTGACGAAGGATATATTCTGAGTGTGGAGCAACAGTTGGAACTAATAAAGGAGATTACAGATACTGAAATCAGGAATGCCATGTTCTCCATAGATGACTCAAAAAGCCCGGGCCCAGATGGTTTTAACAGTGGCTGCTACAAGAAAACGTGGAACACTGTTGGTAGTAGCACATTCGAGGCAGTAAGGGAATTCTTCAAGGAAGGAAAGTTATTGAAGCAAACTAATGCTACGGTTATTGCGTTGATCCCAAAGAAAGATTCTCCTCAAACATCAGTAGATTATAGGCCAATATCCTGCTGTAATACAATTTACAAGTGTATTACCAAGATCTTGAGCAACAGATTGACAAATGTCTGGCACCGCTGGTTGATAAGAATCAAGGGGCTTTCATTAAAGAGAGGCTCATTGTGCACAATATTTTGCTAACTCAGGAGATGCTGCGACTATATAATAGGAAAAACGTTTCTCCCAGATGCTTGATGAAGGTGGACCTGCAAAAAGCATATGACTCAATCTCATGGGAAGTCATAGAGGAGTTGTTGGCAGCTTATCGCTTTCCTGCCAAGTTTATAAGTTAGATTAGAGAATGTAGAACAACCTGTGCCTACTCTTTAAATATGAATGGTGACCTGACTGGTTATTTTGTACGGAAAAAGAGGAATCCGTCAAGGAGATCCTATCTCTCCACTGCTTTTAGTACTTTGCATGGAGTATTTGAGCAGGCTGTTTAAAGCTGAGGTAGAGGAGGGAGGATTGCATTTCCATCCTAAGTGTAAAAGGTACAACTCACGAATCTCAGTTTCGCAGGTGACTTGATTATTCTTTGTAGAGCATATAAGGAAAGAGTTGGTAGATTTAAACATGTGCTTGAAGAATTTACTGAAACAACTGGTCTGCATGCTAATCTGAGTAAATCCCGTATATATTGTGGTGGAATTTCTGATAGTATGAGAGAGAAAATTCAGAAAATTACAGGTTTCAGTATGGGGGGATTTCCAATGAAGTACTTGGGCGTTCCTTTATCCCTAGTTAACTGGAAAAATTTAGATTGTTAACTCCTAGTTGATAAAATTACAGCTAGGATAAAATGCTGGTTTTCACGGCGTTTATCTTATGCTGGGAGGGTGGTTTTGATTAATGTTGTGTTCTTATCACTACACACTTACTGGGCTACTATTTTCCTCATCCCAAAGAAAACCATTACCCAAGTAATAAGGATTTGCAGGGAGTTCTTATGGGGTAAGAAAGATAATGGTAGAGCTTATGCCCTCGTGGGGTGGGATGAAATATGTAAGCCAAAAAAGTTTGGAGGATTTAACATTAAGGAACCAGTGGTATGGAATCAGGCAGCCTTGGGAAAACAAGAGTGGAATATTGCTACGAAAAAAGATAACCTCTGGGTTAAGTGGTGTCATGAGTACTACATTAAAGGACATGATTTTTGGGATTATCAACCATCTAAAGGAGCATGCTGGCACTGGCAGAAAGTAATGAAGACTCGAGATAAGATGAAAGAAGGAATCTGCCATGGCAAGTGGATGGCTGAGTAAAGAGGTTGTTACACATTTAGGTCAGGTTGTGCCTGGTTTAGAGGTGAGGGTCAGAAAATGGTAGAAGCTCCTATAGTCTGGAATAGGTATAATGTCCCAAAACACAGCTTTATACTATGGTTGGCTATGAGCAGAAGGTTGCTTACTGATGACAGGATGCTTAAACTAAAGATCATTACTCGACATATGCAATGTGGATTGTGTAATTCTGCTGAGGAGAGCTTGGATCAGCTACTGTTTCAGTGCAGCTACTCAAGTTAGGTATTAACAGAGTTGACTAACTGGTTGGATTGCAGGAAGGTGCCATACTAATTTGCTCTATGGAAGACCAGATTGTTGAAAATTTTGGAGCCAAAGCAAATGTAAGCAGATCCATGGTACTTTGCCTACTGCTGTTACTATATCTGGAAGATGAGGAATAATATACTACATAGGAAGGCGTGTTTACCTGTTGATCTTCTGATTAAAGAAATCAAACAGGAAATGAAGTGGAGGTTCAATTCATGCTGTAAAAAATTAGACAGGCAGATAGAGAATACTTTGATAGATATGGATGTTTTGATGTGTTAGGAAATAGATTGTGTGCTGAATGATGTAATAGTTGTGTGTTTGATAGGGATATTGTAAACTGGAACTGTTTGTTTGAGAAATTAATACAAGTTAACTTTTCATCAAAAAAAAAAATTCCCGTTTTTAGGAGGGAGAAAAAAAAGAAATAAAAAAATAGAAAAAGGCAAGCAGTAGGCTTAAAAACCCCATTTGTGGACCTGCAAATTTATTAATTAAAAATCCCTAGAGTTTTAATTGCAATTATTAACTCCTACAAAATAATTGAAAACATGGAATCAAACTCTATATAAAATTATAATTCTAATTCCTTCGCCTTAATTGATTTTATCTGATAAATTGGAATTCTTTTTAGTTTTATGCCTGGTGACAAAATATATTATGTTACTGTCAACGTTATAAGAACCTATTGGGTCACATTCAACTGGTCAACGTTTTAGATTTATTATACTAAATGGACTGAATGTTAACTTAATCTGTAATAAAGTTATCAAGGACATAATAGTCTTTTTGACATTAAGCTTATTTGGGTTATATAAATGTTATAACACCCGGAGAAAAAAATGATAACCGGCAGCCATCCAGTCCCAACTTCTCTCTGTCAGCCGCTAGCACGATAATTGGGATGGAAGAAAATCCAAAAGACGCTGATCAAAGTGGATACTTATAGAGACAATCTATTTTGGTTGTTTGTGATTATTAATATCAATTTTTCGTTGAAAGGTATTCCTATACTAATTGTTTTAGATCACTTAGTTCTTGGTTAGGGTTCATTAATTCCGCTGTGCATATTTGTATATTTATGTGATCCGAATCCTACAGGTATCAGAGCCAAGTTGTGAATTTAATTCAGTTGTATACATGTAGCTTTGATTTATGCCTTGCGCCAATTAAGTTGTATACATGTAGCTTTGATTTATGCCTTGCGCCAACTGTTCCTCGTGCGTAAGTGTTTGGATTTTGAGAATTTTAAATTTGATTTATGAGTATCGAATCAAATTTTCAAAACTAGTTATATGAAAAGTTGTTTCAAGTTATGGCTTCGCAATGTGTGGTACTGTACATGAATATTTGATTTGATGAATTCAAATTTTTAGCCAGATTTTGGCAAATCAGAAATGTTTTGCTCCTTCAATTGAAATGGTGTGTGACTCCCGGTTGAGGATTCCAAATCCGATTCGAACAAAAAAGTTCTGATTTTGAATCAAAATTGCTATCGTGGAATTTAATCTGATGGAGTCAACTTGGCATATCAGAAAAGTTCTGATCAAATTTGAGTCCAAGGCAACGTCGAAATGCCGACAATCGTCGGAGGTGAAAGAAATCCAGATTTGGACGACTAGAAAAGTTTTGGCCGGAAAAAAAAACGGCGTTCGACGTCGATGAAAGCAAACCAAAACTCAGAATTTCTAGCGATGGATCTTTCATGGAGGAGTAAAGCTGTTGCTGATCTGATTTGCCTCCGGTATGAATCAAAATCGGTGTGGGACG